TAATCTTCAAAAAATGCATCCCAAGCCACGGGCGGAGAAGCGCAGTAAGTTTGAGCGCAGCTAAGAAAAATTCCCGCTACTTCAGCATCTCGTGCAGGTGTCTGTGTAAGCTATCAACAAGTCCCATGCCAGTGATCTCAGCTATGTTGTCAACAGGTTGCAAGAAGGGCTCACGAGACGTTTTATAGTTTTCAAGTGATTTAACTCTGCGGTGAAAGGAATTCTTTTTTTTTTGCCTTCACTTGTTTGCCACCAGTCCTTTCTGACGCTTCAGGAACGCTGCTGTTGTTGGTAGCGCAAGGCAGGTTTTTGGAACAGTTGGAGAAGCGTATCTCGGTACTGCGCTTTTCATAAACACCAGGTGTGTGCAGAGCATGTCCCTGCCCTAAATCAACCAGAAAGTTGTAACCCGCAGGTCCGAGTCGGGCACTAACAGGCTCATGGGGCAAGCATTCTGTAATTACCTCCCGAAAGACGCGTCTTTCAACCTTTCATGCCGCAGTACGTGATGGGTTTCCACGTTAAAAGAAACTGAAAGCAAAGCCACTGCATCTGTTTGGTTTTAGTTCAATCTGCCACGTAGTATTTCCATCAGTTCTTTTTACTTATCTTTGTACAAGCAAACAGCCAGTTTCAAATGGCAGCATTTGTCTCGTTTCCATTTTTTTTAATAAAGATTGAGTAAAATAAGCGTATTTCCAAACAAACTTTGGGAAAACGCGTTCAGCGGGCTAAAACTTTTCATGAATTTTGCTCGCTTAAGCTGAAGTCACCCAGTGTGTTCAATAAATCGAAACACTGGCATTCCCTAAGCGTTTTAGCAGTCAGCATCCAGCTACGTAAACTAGACCAGACTTCAGATATAAAATATTATAGTTTTCTGCTTCAGGGTTTTCCCAGAGGCAGTGTAAAATAAATAGTTATTTGTTGTAATTGCAAGGCAAAGCCCCAAAGGATTAGACTGGAATCCTCGTGTTCAGATAGGGTTGGACTAAACCTCGCTTCAGCAGAGACTCAGAGCAATAACATGTTGGCACGCAGTATTCACCATCTGCATTCAGTAGCCATGAATATTTAAATTCCAGTGTTGCTGGTATGGTTCATATTAGGATGTCATGTATCGATGCATTCCTAAATTTTGCATGCAGCAGTCAGAAAGCAGTAACTTATTGCAGAAACAGGCAGCCTGGGCGATTCTGGGGAACGACAAAGCTGTGGTGAGGGATGCAGAGCTAGACGAGGCTTTCAGGCTAGCAGTTTAAAGCTGCCTTAAACCTCGGGGCACCTGGGGAAATACTTCGAAATCCAGGATGGCGGTTTGGTGGGTCCAGCCCGCGTGGCTGGAAGGTGCTCCCTGGTACCGTCAGCCAGCGATTAATGTGCTCTGCGGATGGCTGCGACACCGCAGCAGAGGCACGTGGCCGGCTGCGGACAGGATGCAGGGTGGAACCGGACTTTGCATCCCTGTCTCTTAGCACTGGAAGGGGTTCAGGGGAAGACGGGTCACGGGACAGTACCTGCACCCACCCGTGCGCAGCCATCCCGAAAGCTACCACATGTGTAAAACATCCAAGTCTTCCAGAGAGGAAAATAAAGAGCCAAAGCCCCGCTGATGCGGAACAGAGTACCGCGGTCCTAATGGCAAGGGTTAAAGGGAGGGATTCTTTTGTACCGCAGCGTTCAGGGGACGTGGCCGTAGGACACGGGGAGGCAGCATCATGGTCTACCCGCACTGCCTGAGCAACCACAGTAACTATTCCCTCTCATCTGTTGAGGACTGGAGTGTTCCTAAATCACACCTGTCTTCTCAAACGCAATCTTTTCTACTTGTAAAAATACAGATTCATGCAAGAACAATGAGGCGCAGCTTATTTTTCCTAGAGGAGGCTTAATGCAAAATTTGGTGAAGCCCTCCAAGTTCGTTGGAAGAAAGCTCATCCTCACACTAGGGAAGTGCCCAGATTCGCCCTCTGAACTGGCAGCTCTGCCTAAGTCATCCCAGAAAGAATAGAGTGCTTTCAAAAATGTATCTGTTCTCGCTGCATCTGCTAAGAACCTTCCTGTACAAAGAAGAAAAGGACGGTCAAAATCCGGAGGGGGTTTGGACTGACCTTAGTGCTCCTGTGAGAATCCTGAGAACAAAACCGAGATAAACTTGCTAGGAAAATCCCTGCCAGGAGGAATTGCTCCTTTTCTGCCTCGTGTCTGTTTTACAGCAGCGTTAAACAAGTGACACCGACGGTGCTACGCTTCACTGCAAGCGAGGAGAGAAAAAGGCCTTGAGTTTGTACTGCGGACTAATGAAGGCAGCAAGTGAAGCTCTGCTCGGGTACAAACCTGCTCGTGGATCTGTAACACGGTCTCCTAGAGAAGCTGATGAAACCTCCAGAGAAAGTTTTGCTGTAGATTTTGACATTCAGGCTGTGGTGCACCTGTTGCTGAACAGTTGTTGAGGTTTTTAGCCGAAGCTTTAGGTTTGTAGCCATTAATACAACATCTGATGTTTCTGTCCCCCTGCTCCTGAATTTAGTCCTGTAAGGAGAGACAGGTGCAAGGAGCTGAATTGTTCTTTGAGGGGTGGTTTATAGTAAGGCGAGAGCGTGCGGGTCTGGCCACGGCAAAGCTGGGGAGATTATTCAGTGGTTTGGTGGTAAATGAATCCACCCAGAGGCTTAATCAAATCTCTCCAAATATTATCTAGAAAGGCTCAGGAACAAACAGAATAACTAATCAAAGCATGAAAAAAAGAGGCAAGTCTTGGGGGAAAGAAAAAAGGCAAAGTTAAAAAGAAAAAAAAACCATGTTCTACCACAAAAACACACTGCGAGAATTGGAAAGAAAATTCTTGAGCTGGCCCCAGTGGCCGCTCCCTGTGCTGCTGGAGATCAGATGTACGAAGCTGCAATTTTGTCTAGCAATTGGAGTGAGTTAAGGACAGGATGGATATCCGCCCACATTTTTTCAGCCTTCACTCTGTCTCCTGACTTTTGTGGGTTTAAGTTATGTTCTTAATGCTATTTCAACATAGTTGTCTTCCGTGCACGTCTCTAAGTGCCACTCAAAGATCGGACAAGGGGAATATTGCAGGGGACATTGTCAGAAGAGACTGTCACGGGCACACCTTTAAGAAATTTCGTTTGCAAAACCAGCAAGTATTTACCCAATCTGCACCAGCTGAGGGGTGTCTCACCCAGCTGCGCAGAGAGGGAAGATGCTAATGCTGCTGCTCCTGGGTTGCTCCTTACCAGGTCTTTGGAGACCCAGGTTCACGTGTCACGCACTAAGCATGCTTGTGGGTGTACTCAAGGAAAGCCCTCCGTTTCCCTGCCTCAGACGTCCCTCGGTTTCTAAACGGGACCAGCAGCGTTTTCCTGCTTCCCAGGGGTGACAGAAGACAAATAAAATATGCTGGTGCTGGGGACTCTGTGCCTATAGCAAGGTCGATCTACCGCTCTCCAGTTACCAGATATTTTTCGCTTGAACATCCACTTGTCTCCAGCCTGGGAAAGACTCCCCCGTTTCTGGGTATCCCTGTACTCCTTCCCTCCCATATTACTTTTCACACTCTCTCTAGTCGTTGTCAGTCTTCCTTCACTCCCTCCTTTGGCTGTCGTAATTTCTGTCCTGCAGACGGGGAAAACAGAAGCACGCAGCAGTTCAGTAACTCCAGTCCCGTGTCAGAACCGGTGGGTAGCAGAGGCTGAAGACTAGCCCTCATCCTGAGCCTCTTCCCTCCCTGTTTGTGCTTCTTTTCAGATAAGAAACCGCAGTAACTACTGGGGAGTGAGCAGAGCGGAGCCAGGGTCCTGCTTTGCCTGCCTGGCTCAGGCGAGCTGCCTTCCCTGCCTGCTCCTGGCGTTTCTGAGGGCAATGTGTGCTCCCAGGTTGGGGCACATAGCTGGAAAGACGTCTGCGCTGGTCCATAAAACTGTTTTTCTGTCATTTGCTTCCCTTTTTGTCTCAAGGAATTGCTGCACACAAGCCCATTATCTCATCTCCCTCACCCCCTCAGTACCCGCTGGCTGCGGGCAGGGCTGGATTTGACGCACAAGCCCCAGAGTAGGCAGGGCGAAAGGAGGACAAGTCTGATAGAAGGTGGGAAGAAGAATTCTTGCACCCAGCTTAGCTGCCAGCATCTGACTGATGAGTTGAGCGAAGTGGGACAGAGGCGTCCATCGCCGTCTGGTCTGTCCTATATTTAGGCAGTGATGCGGTTATGATCTGAAGAGCTACTGCATCCACGCCTGGCCGAGCAGAAGATGCATGCCCCGAGCGGAGGGGTGACCGGGAGCTGCGACTGCCACCAAAGTCAGCCGGCTCAGGTGGCCGCTCGTCACGTGGTGATTTTAGACTCCATGCTTCTAAGAGGAGCTCTGGGAGGTAACCCGATCAGAGCGGCAATTGCTCAGGACTGGACCTTTTGGGAGCTATATTAAGAGACCTGGAGCCATGCTAAAGGTTAGAGCAACTTTGTCCTCCTGTCGATGGAGATGTCTTGTCCAGTCATTAGACAGGATGGTGGAAAAGCTCATCCTTCCTCTGCTGCTACCTCACAGCTAATTAACTCAGCACTGGACATGGGCAAAGACTGCCCGTGACCTCTAGCTAGGGCATGCGGGATACCCAGACCCTAACACAGTCCCACTAACGCCTGCAGGAGGTTTTCCTGTGAAGTTTGGCGGTCCCCACCACTTGTGATGCTGACTTTGTTCAAACCAGTTGAGCAAACTTTGTTCAAACCAGTTGAGCCAGGGATGGCTTGGACAGAGGCTGCTGGGCCAGGAAGGGGCTGGCACGAGGCTGGGGTAGGCAGCAGGACATAGGAGCAGGAGGGGGTTCTGGCAGTAACGGTGGCAGGGGGTGATGGAGAAAGGACCTGCAGCTCCCTGGCTCCGAAGGCTGCAGAGGAAGATGTGTTTCTGCCTGCGTTGAAGTTGGATGTTATCCCTGCAGCTTGTCTATACATTTGGGGGTGGCAAGTACCCCAATGGAGCGCCAGGATGAAGATGGCCCTCACGGGTATCTCTTGTAGTGCTTTTTACTTGTTTTTATTGAACTTATCACTTTAAAACACGTGGAACTGTCATCTCAAACCAAAAGCCCCAGCGGTGGCAGAAATGACTCTCCTTTGGTGAGGAAACAAAACCCAGCGTGGTAACAGCCTTCTGAAATGTCTAGTGGGCCAGACACGAGTTTCTACATCCATCCTCTTGGTGATAATTACCCCAAAGCCAAAACCAACAAAACCTAGCAAACCTTTTCTCATTAGCAAAGGTAATTCCTCTTGGGAAAGCCAAATGCGCAGTCCTGGGGAGAAGCCTAGAGTGGAAATCAGAATACTGCATGTGTACGGAACTATAGATTGAAGAACTGTGTCATTAGAAATAAGGAAAACGGGCTCTGTAGGAAGCTCTGCAAAGGCTGGGAAAGGCCAGTTCGCGTTTGTCATCAGAGCCTGGTGTTGGTTTTATTCTCCCTATGATTTGGACTTTTCTTCTGTTTTAGGGATTTTGGAGTTTATTAGCCTGGCAGTGGGGCTGGTGAGCATCCGTGGGGTGGACTCGGGACTCTACCTCGGCATGAATGAGAGAGGCGAGCTGTATGGGTCGGTAAGTCCAAGGTTTCGTGCTGATTGCAACACTGTATAACACACACAGCAATACAGGCTGCGGGACTCATCAGCGTCACAAGCTGTGTCTGTCGCAGGCCTCCGAAGGGCTGCCACACACCTCCGTCCTACCCGCGATGCCACTGTTGTTATAACATAAATGGTATATATGGAATAGGGCTGTGGAGGGAGGATACGCTCGTGCGGCGAGAGCCCGTGGTGGTGCCCAGTCCCCGGGCGCTCCTTTGGGCAGTACCTGGGGAGCAGGGGCAGCTCATCGAGCTTTTCCCTTTCAGAAACAGTGTGGCAACAGTCAGCTAAAGGCAGAAGGGAAATTTAGTGTAAAACCAGGGGCTGCTTTTGTGTTTTCACTGCCTGAGGAACACACCAGTTTTATTCTCCATGTGATCAGGATCTGGACCTATCTATTTTACATTTGTATTATGGCTCTTTAACTAAGGGAAGCTGAAGCTGTGGTCTGAGTGTTATTTTATCATAACATTCTCTACAAATCCTTTTAGCAGTTTAAGGGGTTGCTCATAATTTTCTAGAAGAGCCCTTTTCAGACTAAAATTTTCCGTGTTTTGCCAAAAACCAAGTGTAAAGCCCTTGTTAGTTTTTCACTCCACACAAACTCCCGAATACCTATAAACTCTTCCTAACATCACCCGTAGCAGATTCTGCCTCATCCTGTGCTGCTGTAGGACAGAGAAAGCAAAGATGCCTCGTCTCTAGTCCAGGCTTGGGTTTCTAGTGACAGCTTGAGAGTTTGTCATTTGCTCCCTTGATTTGGGCCATGCCCTCAGAGCCCTGGCTCGCCGGTTGCGCTGCCACAGCCGGGACCACCTCAGGTCCACCTCTGCCCGACGTTACGGAACCTGCACCACCCTGTAGACCACTGTGAACACAGGCAGGTGCTCCGATGAGCCAGCCCCAAAAGGAGAGCGTACATCGGGGTTTCTTTGGGTGAAACACCAGCACACGGAACGAACACTTTTGCAAAGCTTGGCCAGGACTGCAGGAAAGGGGTGCTGTGAAGAGCTTTGGCATCAAGGGTAAAGTCTCCCCCAGCTTGAAAACAGCCGAGCTCTCGTCTGCTTCTTTTTGTTAAATTAAGCGTCAAGACTTGCAGTCAAAATGTCAGGTCTTAACAGCTGGGCAGAGGTACTTCCTACAGGTGAATTTAACTGAATTCCAAATTATTTAACTCAGTTCAATATAAAATAGCTATTTCTAGTTATCTAGAACAATCACTTCTGTTTTGAAAAGTTAATCGCATTCTAGATAGCCATTTTGAAGTTTCCTTTTCTGTAGCCACCGCACTTCATTGGTGCTTTTTCTTCAGATGCCCCATTGCCTTTCATTCAGCCCATCACCTGTGTGTGATTTTTTTTAAATGCCTCTTCCTAGATGACCTATCCTCCCTTATGTGAGGACACTGATTTTTAAGGATGGGTCACAATAAATTGAGAATGATATAAAATAAACCAGTTTCAAACCAAAGCGGAAGGCACATACTTCCTCTGACCAAATCAAGTCAATCTTATAGTGCAGAAATTTAGACCCGTGTACTGTGCACGTAGAGAAGCCTTCAGAAAACCTTAGCTTAGCAAGCAGTAACAGTAAATCAGGAGCTTCCACCATCTTTCCTCCTCCCATTCCCATCTGAGACTGCCACAGCCCCTCTCGGCATTTAAGATGCAGTTACTGATGTTTATATGAGATAATCACATCCTAGCATGCACCAGTAACTGCTCTTTTGCCATTTCATTGCTGTAATAACATCTACCCTAAACAAAAGTTAAATGCAGAGACAGCGGTTAAATTACGAACCTGCAAAACAGGTAACAAGTATAATCACCAGGATTCCATAAAACACACAAAAATCTTAAAGCACACTTCTGAAAGCAGGGCTGGAGCCTGCACCCGTGCAGCAGCACCTCTCCGTCAAACCCCGAGGCTGCTCAGCAGCTCCTGGAGTCACAGCTCGCCCTTGTGCCTGCTGAAAAGGAGAACACAAGCCCACGTATCCCCTTCTGCGCTTTCAAACCCTGCAGCTCTGATTATGAATCAACAGTTTCGTGATGGGTTAATGAAATTCTAGGGCCTGTGTTCATGTTATGACACAGAAACAAAAATAGGGTAACATTTTACAACGCTTCATCTGGAAACAGAATCGACCTGAAGACATAATCCTGAGCATTTTCTCTCTGTGGCTGCATCTTGTACCCAGACGACACGCTGCAGGGACGCAGTCAAACCACTGATCCAAGCTGCGCAGACGTCACAAGCCAGGTCCCCAAATAACCCTGGTGTTTTAAAATCTGGGATACGTGGGTTGCACGGTGATGGCTTTTTGAAATCAAAAGCCACTACAACATTCTTAATTAAAGGTCCATAAAACAGTGCCTAGCAGCAGCATTAGCATTACGATGGTATTTTAGGACCTTACAGTACAGCGGTATTTTTAAGTTTTCAGCAAGTTCATTAATTGTCTCTGTGCCAATTCTGCTTGATCTGTGTGTTGGTATAGCCAGAGCCAGCCATCCCTGCAGCAACACATGGAGTCCCCTCAGGACAGACAGCGTTTCTCCCTGTCCCTGTTAACCTTGTGCCAACGTTTCTGTTAAGCATTCCACCAATTTTGGAAACACAACTAATACTTTGAGCAGCAAAAGTCACAGGCAGCTCCTTGCACGCTGCCTGTACGGTCTTGGGCTTGGTGGGGACATCCTGGGGCTTGGAAAGAAATCAGTTGCGCCCTGCAGAGTCACCCCAGACTCCCCAAACATTTTACACAGACGTTGTACCTCCAAAGAGCCCAGTGAGGAGCGGGTAAACTGGGGCAAAGCAGCAGCTGGTCAGCAGTTCCTGAAGTATTCCAAGTAGACGGCATCCTAGGGGAAGAAAGCAAAAATATCTGTATTCATTGGCAGACCTGGAAAGAGAAACAAACCCCCAGTTGCCCAGGTCTCAGACGGCAAGGGCTGTGGTGCAGGGAGTTAGAGGGCTCACCACTCACCTTGCAGTTTATTTAATTAGCAGCAAAACATTCAAAACAGGTTCTGAGTGCAGATGAGCTCCTGGATTGTGTTACAAAACATCTACTGCAGGCAAGAACACCTCCTTAGCACTCTGCGTGCCGCAGATGAGAGACATTCCCTTCCCGAACAGTTTGCAGCGTAGGCACAGTGTTTGTAACGTACCAGCATCCTCCAGCTGCAGACTGCCTTTCGTCTGGGACTCTGCCACACGGCACGGTGGCACTGGCAAAGCCACCATGTCCTCGCGGGGCAGGGGACAGCCCCGCTCCCCGCTGCGGCTGGGCATGGAGATGGGAGGGAGGGAGAGGGAGGCACGGTGGCACTGGCAAAGCCACCATGTCCTCGCGGGGCAGGGGACAGCCCCGCTCCCCGCTGCGGCTGGGCATGGAGATGGGAGGGAGGGAGAGGGAAGGAGGATGATGAGGGGACTGGAGCATCTGTCCTACGAGGAGAGGCGGAGTGAGCTGGGCTTGTTCAGCCTGAAGAAGAGAAGGCTGAAAGGGGACCTTAGAAATGCCTACAAATATCTGCAGGGTGGGTGTCAGGAGGACGGGGCCAGACTCTTTCCAGTGGTGCCCAGCGACAGGACAAGGGGCAACGCGCACAAACTGAAGCCGAGGAAGTTCCAGCTGAAGATGAGGAAGAACTTCTTCCCTCTGAGGGTGACGGAGCCCTGGCCCAGGCTGCGACCCTGCCTCGGCAGGGGGTTAGACTGGGGGACCCCCAGAGGGCCCTGCCAACCCCGACCATTCTGTGATTCTGTGAGCCAGGGGCAGGGACCAAAAAGCCATCATCAAACAGCTGCTGCCGACAGCCCTCGGCTTAAAGGTTGGAGGGAAGGGCTGGTTGTGGCTGCAGTGACCCTGGTGTCATCCCCGCACTGGCCGTAGGCTGGCACACGCTCACCCATCGCCGTCGTAAATCTCCCCCTGGGGTTAGACATTCCCGGAGCGCTGCTCCCCATCCAGACCTCCCCGGGTCTGTTGTGGCCTCGCACTGCAGCCATCTGGCACTTCAGAAGATGAAAGGCCCGAGGAATGCTTTCATTCCATCGCGGTGTCTACTGTTGCGTGCCTCAAACTTCCAAAGCGGTGCTTGCTCCTGGTTAAACCCACCGGACGCGCTGCCCGCTGCTTCTCCCGGTCGCAGAGACCTGGCTGTCAGGCTTGGAGTTTTGCTATGGCTGTTGTTTGTTTTTTTATAGGGCACCTTTGCAGAATACACACTCACCTTCTCCTCCTCTTGTCTCCTGCCTCCTCCAGCTTCAGAGGTCTCTGGGACCTGGTTTGTAGGGCTTGTGCCTGTTTCCAGCGCTCACGTCCCTGGCAGCACAGTCCCCATCCTCAGGGGAGCCAGGAGAAGGTGGCTGGGAGAATTACAGGAAAGTGAAGTGAAGGAAGGAGGATAAGTTTGGGGTTCTTTTTAATTTTTGACACAAATGTCTCTTTCTTCCCCTCCTGCCTCTGCCCCAACGCAGAAGAAGCTGACACGAGAGTGCGTTTTCCGAGAGCAGTTTGAGGAGAACTGGTACAACACGTACGCCTCGACCCTCTACAAGCACCCCGACTCGGAGAGGCATTACTACGTGGCCCTGAACAAGGACGGCTCCCCCCGAGAGGGGTACAGGACTAAGAGACATCAGAAATTCACTCATTTTTTACCCAGGCCTGTGGACCCTGCCAAAATACCGGCGATGTACAGAGACCTCTTCCACTACAGGTGATGGTTCCTGCAGCTGCCCCGTCAGTGTACATACTCGGGCTCCCACGCTTTTTCCCAGAGCACTCTATCAGTAGTCATTCCATCATCCCTGTAAGCGTAGATGGCGTAGGAAAGCACTTACATCGAATTCAGACACTGCTGTTCCTCCTTGTTTCGAGCGTAGAGCGAACCTGGGTTATTTATGGGCTGGGGGTAGGGGAAGGGAGGGAACCCTGCGTAGAATCTTCCGTTTTCATTCACTTTCTCTACCCGGTTGCTGCGAAGAGAGGCCGAATATTCAATGTTACGGCTGCTTACAGGAACAAGCAGGCGAGCAAACCTGATCACCGGGGTGGGAAAAACCAAAACCTAAAAATAAAGAGAAGGAAAGAAAACAAAAGACCACAGAACTGCTTTGGATGCTGCTGCTGAGCTCGGGATGGTTACCTGCTAAGAAAAAGCCTTTCGAATGGTACCCGGCTCACGCAGCCTGGGAGTTTGCTACGTGGATGATGCTACGTGGACTGTTCCTGATGCGTGGGGTTTTTCCTGCCATTGGCATGGGAATGGGGCGAGGAACATTATTCAGATGTAAGCATGGATACTGTGCATAAGGACAAAACTATTTATAAAATGTATATGATATTTATTTTATATATTTATTTATTTCAAAATAATTTTATTTTTAATGAGAGATGCTATGACCGAATTTTCATCAGGAAGAATAAGGTCCTACTGAAACAGGAAAAAAAGAAAAGGTTTTAAGAGCTTATTAGAAATAAAATTGTCTTTATATTGTAGATTTCTTGCTAGCCCTTTTTTTTGGTGCTCTTCAACAATTAACCCAGTATTTCCCCATCAATACGAATATTAAGACCATCTCTAAAAAGGCTTTGTATGGTGAAGATAAATCACCTAAATCCCAAACTCTTGTAGAAAGAAGGATGACATCAGACGATACCTGGACGGACCTTGGGAGTGTGACCCCGCTGAAATGGCCGGCTGGGTCTCTGATGAGCCGTGGTTTCCAAGAACTGCAAATCCAGCCCTTTCCTTCACCCCGAAACGGGCCAGACAGGTCCGGGGGTGACGCCGAGCACCAGGCGCAGCGCAGCGTTCGCCGCCGTCGGATGGGATGGGGATGGGCGCCTGGAATGCGCGTTGGGAGGAACCTGGCGGGCACGGTCGGCATCCTCGGGCTCCCCCGCACCTCGAGCCTGGGACGTGCTGGCACAGCTCTCGGTGTGCGGCAGCGGTGGCCCAGAGGCTCCAGCACCGCAC